ACATTTATCAATAAATTTCTAGAAACTTACCACTAAAGTGAGATTTAGCCCAAGTGTTTGCTGGGATCTTACACACCCAAGCATGAGCCTCTTCATTGATCTTCTTTAACTCATCCATCGCTCTGTTAAAATGATTGACTGTTGTTGCTCTACCACACTCCCAAAGCTGGTCACTTAAGTCTTTTCCTTTCCACTGTTTCTTCATGTTTTCCTGGATATGCCTCAAACAGAACCTGTGTTCTGCACTAGGGAATACCTTTTCCATTGCTGGTATTATTCCCTAAACAAAACTCAATGTATGCAACATCAGTTAACCAAATGTTTTTAGAAATGGTACTAAAAAAAGTTAGGTGATACACACCTTTTGTCTATCTGAAATGAATGTAAAGTTTGAATTTGGTCCCAGATCCAGATCTTCTCCTAACAGTTCCAAGAACCAGGTCTAACTACTTCTTGATTCTGTCTCTACCACTGCATATGCTACAGGGTATATGCCATTGAATGAGTCCAACCCTACATCAGTTAACACTTGCCCAGGGTAAGGGCCCTTCATGAAAGTACCATCCAGACCTAGAAAATCTCTTAACCCAGATTTGAATCCTAACTTCAATGCACCCAGACAGACATATATTCTTCTAAAAGTTCTTGTGGTAATAGACAGGGAGGTTTCTGGATACACATCAATCCGAACTGTTGTACCAGGATTAGTGTTGAGTAGCTCCAACACATAATCCCTCAAAAATCCATACTGTACTTGGTAGTCCCCACTAATGATACGTTCAGCCATTGACTTTGCCCTAGCAACCTTTTGCAATGACATTCCTACCTCTAGTTTCTTGCACAACTCTTCGTGTAAAGCTTTCACTAGAATTTTAGGGTTACTCTGAATTTGTTGAACAATTAAGTTTGCTACGTATCTGGAAGTGCAAGCTTTAACCGCCCTTGTTTGCAAACAATTATGCTCATCCTGTACTGTTTTCACCAACCAATCCTGATTTTCATTAGCCCTTGATATTTGGACTGCCCATGGACATGTACATTTATTGGCAATTACATCTTTACCCTTGCACTTTGCCCTACTTCTAGTTGAGGGCCCACCACCATCAACTACTTTAGATGGCTTACTTACAACACCTTTACATTTCACCCTAATCCAGATTTTGTCATTTTTGGCTAGGTATAAAGACCTCCTTGTTGCTACAGCGTGTGAGTTCATGTAGTTTTTAACACCACGCTTGGTTTTGAAAACCTGGCCAATCTGAAATAGTTTTACATGAACCTCTCCATGTGAGCATGTACTTGACTTACTCAACTCTTTTAGCAGTCTCTTCCTATCATCTTCATGAAATCCCGCAAACTGATAATCATTAGTGACAATAACTTCCAACTCATCATCAACCATGTCATTCCCTTCATCTTTTGAATGATTGTTCAAGATTCCATGTTCATCTACATCAACATCATTATGGAATTCACTCATGTCTACATCTACATCAAATTGTATGTTAGACTCATCCACATTGTATTCACTGTCATCAGAATCATATCCACTATCCTCAGAACCATGGCCACTCTCAGAGTAGAAAGCCTCTCCACTATCATCACTCACCATACCCTCTAGATAATCCACTTCTGGTTGTTGTTCAAATGAAGTTTGAACATTAAACTCATCATCATAATCAACATAAAGTGAGTAATCCTCTATAAATGGTTCATAGTCATCAACTGTTGCAGTATTAACTCCATCATCAGCTTGGCAGCTTGGTTCCTATACATGGTAAGTTCCCAATGGTTCTTCAGTTTCAACTGCACTAGTGATCACTTCTTCTTGAGTTTCAATTTCATGATTCACCACTTCCTCTTGAATGACATGACTTTGTTTGCTATCTTGTGACCTTATAAATGGTAGAATACTCTTTGAGTAATCATGGACTTCATCAACATCTAATACTTGTGACTGCTCATAATCAAGGTTTATAGACTTGTTTAGATCAAGCTTTCTACTACATGATCCTGCTTCTCTCCTACAAGGTTTCTTTCTATTCATTTCAGGTGACACACTATCAGGCTCCAACTATTCAATAACAACTTTAGAAGGAGACTTGTAATAACTAGCTACCCTTGTCTGACCAGTTTCAATATACACCCTAATAAGTCTGTGTTTAGGGACATATGATACCATTTTAAGTACATCTTGGTCATTACCTAAAGACATTAAGCCATAGTCCAAAGGGTATTCAGGGATACAGAAATGGTAGTAAAGGGTTTGCTCAGTTTTGTACCCTAGTTCTCGAACCATGTCGTCAAGCTCATGAACTGAAAATAAATCAGTGTCAACATCATCTACATATGCTACAACACCATCAACGTATTTCCTTCCAGGTGCTTTGGTGAAGACACCACTGTAGTGTATCTTCAACGTGAAATAGTTGTCATAACCTTCTGCAAACACAAAAAAAAGAAAGAGTAAAATCAATGATTTCTCTACGTCAACACAATCGACCAAGAAAAAACAAGTTTTGCTGTAGTATTGTACTGTATCTTTTTCCTAAGTCCTCCACGGTTACAAATTTTTCTCGAAAACACCATATTGATAGCACCATTGCAATTCCTGCAGCTTAAAACCCTAAATCCCAATTTCTGTTCTTGCTTCTACAATGGGAATGAACCCGATAAATACATATGTAACTGGTTATCTTCTTGGGAGAGGGACGGGTAGTGACGTGCAAGCAATAGGTAATCATTTCATATTAAAGAAAGAAGGTTACAACTGAAATGACGAAATTACCCCTGTAATATTTTATTAAAAAATGAGTTAACGGTGAAATGCTAACGGAGTGAGCCGGAAGGACCAAATGTTAAAAGTTTTGAAACCACAGGAATCATCTGTGAGGTTTTTTGAACTGAGGGATTAAACTTGATATTTTTGGAAACCAGAGGGACCATTTTTGAAGTTTTGTCTTAAAAAAAATGGAATTTTCTTGTCATTTTCTCTCTCTTCTTTTCAAATCACTTTTCTCTTTCCCTTATTTAGAGGGTGTTTGGGATCGCTTTAAAAACAATTTTAAGACTTCTTATTTTTTTTAAAAAGTCAAAAAAATTCAAAAAATATTTGGAAAGTTGAAAAATCCCTTTTTAAAACAATTTTTTTGAGTAAGGGAAAAAAGTTTAATTCTAAAAGTCACAAATTCAAAACTTTGTGATTTTTGTGCCTCTTAAAAGCAACTTTTGTTTTTTTGTCAATCCAAACACATTTTAAACCACTACTTTTGGAAAAAGACATTTTACAAAAAGTTCTTTTATAAAAAAGACTTTAAAGCTAAAAAAGTTATCCCAAACACACCCTAAAAAGTTGATATCTTACTTAATCTAGTGATCTTACATGATTCCATCCGTGAAATCATTCCAAATGTGTAGATCTTCAAGTTTCACCAAGAACACACACTTAACCATATTACAGTTTTTTACATTCAAAATTCAAAAGATTACCAACTTTTTATCCATTGAGAAAATATAGGGATTGAAACGGATTCAAATATGTGTATGATGTTATATTGATCTAACTGATAATGTTAATCATTTGTTTTTGAGTTTTGAAGTGGCATAGAAGGTTTGGATGAGTCTTCGTTGTAGAGTCGGTCTTGAGGAATTAAATATTTTCAAAGGCCCATAACGAGTAAAAAAAAGTCATTATCGACTACCTAGATATTCAAATTATAAAACTTAAAGAGTAAATTACATGAATGGTCCCTGTGGTTTGGGGTAATTTGCACGTTTGGTCATTAAGTTATTTTTTTTAACTCGGAAGGTCCCTATAGTTTGTTTTTGTTGCGCGCCTTGTCCCTGTCTTACCTAAAAAATCAAGGGCAAAATAGTATTTTTAGGTAAGACAAGGACCAAGTGCGCAACCAAAACAAACAGTAGGGACCTTCCGAGTTAAAAAATAAGTTAGGGACCAAACGTGCAAATTACCCCAAACCATAGGGACCATTCGTGTAATTTACTCAAACTTAAAACATGTCTAGATATGAAACAAAAACATGAGGCACAGATAATTTGTATGGCATGCCACGACATAAATATGATTGTCTTTAACTTATTTACATGAAAACACATATTTACACGTATTTATAAACAAAACACAAATGCTATATTTCAGAAAGTAGCATGGTATATTTCATATACACAAATATATATCCTTCATAATAAATGAAAATAATTTTGCCACATGTCACTCTCTTATTAATTTGGACACAGTCATTTTTTGGTATTTTTGATTAAATGTTTTTCCATTTGTCATTTTCTCATTTTTTTAGTATTTTCTTAATTAACACATGATATTTACACCTCAATTAATGATTGTCTTAATTAGAAATAACCAATAAATTACAATATTAGTACTCATATAATATTTAATATGTTTCCTTTTAAATTTAAATTTTAAATTTTAAATTTCAAATCTAAAATTTCAAATTTAAATAAATTTTTGTTTAAACTTTCATATTTAATTTTTTGTTTTATCAAACCCGTATAACATACGGGTCTCACACCTAGTATATATATATATATATATATATATATATATATATATATATATATATATATATATATAAAGTGTATTGCTAAAACAGCCTAAAATCAAAAAGTAAGATGTGATATTTTACTAAATTAGTTGTGTCTTATACATATTGCGGTTCGCATGAAAATTTCATGTGTTATACGTGTTTAAACAAATAAATTCGTGTCTGACACAAAACACGAATTTAAAATTTATATCGAAACAAATAAACACAAAAACACTAATTTATAAAATGTATATACCAAAAAAACGTATGTCATACTTGTTTGTGTTAGCCGTATCATGTATTTAATTGATGGCTCTAGTCATAGGTGAGTATGAATAAAAAACGATGAAAAAAACATAATATATTGTAATAACCAAATAAATAACAATATATATTGTCTACAACAATTAAATGTATGTTCAAATCACAGTTTAAAAAAGTAGGTACTAAATTTTGGTGAAAAGTGAGGATAAATTATAAACATAATTAGAAAGTGTAATACTTAAAAGAAGGAATAGACCTATAGGCAATCCAATCCAATGTGTTTATCTTAGTTATTCACCTCCATAATCCTTGGCAATTGGCATGATCCCTAAATTCAGAGTCATTCCGATCTGGTCATTTATCCATAATCCATTAATTTAATATTGTCCTATAAATTTGCAGTTTTTTTTTTTCACTTTTGTGGTAATCCGATCGTGTCCGAGGGAAGAATGGCGGGCGGAGGATTTGTGGATGGACAAGGCGGAGCAAGGGCGGAGTATTACGAGTATAAGATCACTTGGTATTTCATATTTGCTTCCATTGTCGCTGCTCTCGGTGGTTCTCTCTTCGGCTATGATCTCGGCGTCTCCGGTCAGTCTCTCTCCTCCCCTCATTTGTTTCTTCTTTCTCCGGCGAACTGAATAACCCAATGTAATACCGACTCCGAGATTTGAAATCGGATATCCGGAGCAATTTGTATGAAATGTGGCAAAGGGCACCCTGTGTGCTGTTTGATTTGATTTTACTGTCCGGTTATCTTTTGAAGATTTTTTCTGATCTGTTTTTTTCGTCAGATTGTCTTTTTGTGCTTCTGTAAAGCTGTATTCTGTACATTTCATTTGTCAGATACAAGCTGGAGGTACTTTTACTGTTTATGATACTCAAATAAATAAACACTAAATCCTTCAAACTCCTCGCTGTTTCATTCAAAATCAAATCCCTTTTTCACTCTTTTGATAAATACAATAACTTTTGTGCATCTTCTTCTTGGATTTCTGTTGAATTTACTTTTCACATAAAAACAATCCATTAAAACATTCAAATTGATCAGTGTATTACTCTTTTATGTTATCTAAATCTTGTTCCTTCCAATAATGTGCATTTAGAGTTGATTTTTCTAAATCTTGTTTCTTTCCAGCTGGGCATATTCGAAACAGACAAAGATAATGTTTTCTCAACATCAAAAGTGCGTAATGGGATTATATGAATCTATTAGTTTTTTAATCGGAGTTATTTATGTTTGTACTTATTCCATTAATTCTGACCAAGTTTTCAAAAATTTTATCATAGTTTTAGCAATTTTCAAAAAGCACTATTTTTGAAAAAAAAAAAAAAACGAATACTAGCAATATTTGTATTCACTACAGCTGCAAAATTGGACAAATATATCAAATTTCCGTGAACATTCTTTTTTGGGATAACCCTTTTAAAGAAATAGCTGTTTGGATACAAATTTGATCACAAATAGCAGAAAAATCCAATCAGAGCTTTTTTGTAACCTCTTCTGGATAAAGAAAGTGCAACTATACATGCATGTAGTACAACCCCAACTACATTCTATCATCTTTTGGTCCACTGCCTTTCTTTGTCCTTCCTTTTTGACAAAAAAAGAAATTTACGAGTTAAACAAAGTTGAAATTTGTTTTATCTTAATTCCTGCTTTTCTTGCATGTTTTCTTAAGGGCTTTTCTAATTGATCTTTTAATAACTTGGACATAGTAGTCAATAACCTCTTTTGTTAAGACCTGATTTATTATCTACCTGATTATTCCACATGCTCTTCCACTTCTAGAAATTACAAAAACTTATACAAAATGGATGTTTTAAAAACAACAACTTTCATTAATTTTCAGGTGGAGTGACATCAATGGATCATTTCTTGAAGGAATTCTTTCACGAAGTATACAAAAGAAAACAAGAACATCTCAAAGAAACCGATTACTGCAAATATGACAATCAATCACACTTCCTCACACTTCCACTAGCATCACATGTCCCAAAGGTAGCTAGCATTCTTTGTTTATTTGGTGCAATTCTCAATGCCCATGCTAATCATTGGCCGATGCTTACTTGGCATTGGCATTGGATTTGGCAACCAAGTAAGCTCCTTTCCCCCCAAACATTACAATATTGACTTTTTTGCCCCCTATTGGCATTGGCCTACACTGACACAGACACACAGTGTACTTGATTTAGCTCAGGAGTTGCTGGAAGAATAATAAGTTTCTTGTTTATGTGTTTATGTGTATGTGAAAACAAGAAACAAGAAATAAGTTTCTTGTTTATGTGAAAACAAGAAACAAGAAATAAGTTTCTTGTTTATGTGAAAACAAGAAACAAGAAACAGTGTACTTGTTTATTAGTGTGGCCAGCTCAGCTCAGGAGTTGCTGGAAGAATAATAAGTTTCTTGTTTATGTGAAAACAAGAAACAAGAAACAAGAAATAAATTATTATTTATGTGAAAACAAGAAACAAGAAACAAGAAACAAGAAACAGTGTACTTGTTTATTAGTGTGGGCCAGCTCAGCTCAGGAGTTGCTGGAAGAATAACAAGTTTCGTGTTTATGTGAAAACGCGCAGGCGGTACCTTTATATTTGTCAGAAATGGCACCTGCAAAGATCAGAGGAGTAGTAAACCAGCTTTTTCAGCTAACAACTTGCTTGGGAATCTTCATAGCCAATTTTGTAAACAATGCAACTGAAAAACATCCAAAAGGGTGGAGATTATCATTAGGGTTAGCAACTGTTCCAGCAACCCTAATGTTTGTTGGTGGACTTTTTTTACCTGAAACTCCAAATAGTTTAGTGGAACAAGGGAGGTTAGAAGAAGGAAGAAAAGTGTTGGAAAGAGTTAGGGGAACAACAAAAGTGGATGCAGAGTTTGAAGATCTTATTGAAGCAAGTGAAGCTGCTAAAGCTATTAAACATCCTTTTAGGAATTTGTTGAAGAGGAAGAATCGTCCGCAGTTGGTTATAGGGGCTTTGGGTATACCTGCGTTTCAACAGCTTACTGGGATGAATTCGGTGTTGTTTTATGCGCCTGTGATTTTTCAGAGCTTGGGATTTGGTTCAGGAGCTGCACTTTGGTCTTCTACTATTACTACTGGTTCTCTTGTGGTTGCTACTCTTATATCAATGGCATTTGTTGATAAGTTTGGGAGGAGAGCTTTTTTCTTGGAAGCTGGATTTGAAATGGTTTGCTGCATGGTATATTTCTTTTCTTCAACATTATTTTATAAACAAAAATTATCTTTAAACAACTCTGAGCTGACCCATATTGTCCTGACCCGTAACTAGCATTATGTGAGATGTAAGTCAGGTATACAGAACCCACTGGGTGGTTGATATGTATGACCCCAGTGCTCACATGGAGCTCGATCCATATTGGAATTGAAACTCTCAGACTATGGATGTAGACTTGAACCCTTGACTTTTTCTGCAAATCGCCTTTTTAATAACAATATTAAAGATTATAAGTGAGCATGGTTGTAATTTATATAAGGAGAAAAGAATATGTGATTGTGTGTGTAATTTTCTTGATGTGAGAAAAAAAAACAAAGAGACAAATCCTAAGATAAAGTATAGAACAAATGAAAATGGACAAAAGGAAATATGCATACATGAAAAAATATTCGTTCTCTAGGTAAATGACATCTCAAAAATATTTTAGAATATGAACGCAAAATCTCTTGACTTTCTTTGTTAAGTCGTTCTTTAAAAAAGGAAGTACGTATACATAGCTTATTAGATTAAATCATGTCCCCATTAAGTCTATTAAGTGAAAAAAGAACGTGGATTATGATTTTTACTATTTTTAAAACCCTATAAATAAAACGTTATTGTGATATTTTTAGGTGGCTGTGGCTGTAACTCTAGCCCTAAAATTCGATCATGGTGTGGTACTCTCAAAAGGGATCGGAATATTTCTTGTAGTAGTAATCAGTCTTTTCGTTCTAGGGTATGGGAGGTCATGGGGCCCACTAGGATGGTTAGTCCCAAGTGAAATCTTCCCTTTAGAAACAAGATCCGCGGGTCAAAGCATGGTTGTTTGTGTCAACATGCTCTTCACTGCTTTAATCGCACAATGTTTCTTAGTCTCACTTTGTCACTTAAAATTGGGATTTTCTTGGTGTTTGCGGGTTTGATTGTAATCATGAGTCTCTTTATCTACTTCCTTTTGCCTGAAACAAAGCAAGTTCCTATTGAAGAGATACATTTGCTATGGCAAGAACATTGGTTTTGGAAAAGATATTGTGAACCGGAAGATCAAGTACAACAAGTAGGAAGGAAGGTAGAACATGTGTAGGATTTGAAACAATTGTTGCTTTTGGAAGTGAGTAGAAAACGAAAATCTGGTTAAATGTGCATATTTTGTGGAGCTTTGATGATGATGATGATGATGATAAAATGTGAATGAATAAAGGGTGAGGGGTTGTAGGTTTGAGAGATGGAAATGGTTACAAAAAGATGAAGTTGTACATAAAGACTATGTTTATTGAAGAAGAATAGTTGTAAGAATCCATTGTAATAGAATACCTTTAAGCTTCCTTTATAACAATACTTTAACTCTAAGTCTCTAGTGTTATCTACTATTACATTTTTACACTTTAACATTATTCCATTGACTAATCACTTAGATTGTTCACTGAGTAAAAGCATGGGCCTTCCTATCTTTATTGTTTTCAAAAGCTAGTCTTACACAGGTCTAAAAATGGAACCTCCTGTCACGTGCATTCTTTGAAGGGAAGAAGAAACAAGTTTTTCGATTTTGTCTTAAACAGTTCCTGGTGTTTGACAAGCTAACATATCGGACCTCAACTTCTTTTCTCTTAACATTAATGGTTTCTGGAAAATGCAATTTGATCCTTGGTCCCTTTCTAATATGACCATTATGTCAAAAAGCCAAGAACTTATAAATTGTTGTATTTAATAATAATAATAATAATAATAATAATAATAATAATAATAATAATAATCGTTTATAATTTTTTTTTCTTTTAGAATAATAAAAATAGTTTTTCAAAAGTTTTATTTTTCTTTTTAGATAATTTTTTTTGTGTACTTAAGTTCATAGTAGTTAAATTTATTTCACTTTATTTTGTTTAAATTTTGTACTTTATGTTTATTTTGTTTCTTTAAATCTAAAAATTCAAAAACAAGGGTTTGTGCAGGTCTTATTAGTACGGATTTTCAAATGTATATTTTCTATCAGCTTTATAGAAATATAAGGGGGAGTATGCATAGATACGGATCATCAGCGAAGAAGGATCAACAAAGACTAACAATATTATCTTGCTATTGATTTGAAGGACATGTGTGTAGCGCCAATTCTCATGGTAAATCCTAAGACGAGCTGACATGTACCAACTGATGAAATCATCCGCTGATGATATACTAAGGGATTGATGGTGAACTTAATTGTTCAAGACTGAAACTTGACACTATCTAGCATGATCGTCAATGTCTCTTGATTTATACTAATCAGGGATACATATCCAATCCCTAATGTCAATGATGTGTCTCACTTCACTGTGATTCACTAAGACATTACCTTACCCATTATGTCTCTGGGGGTAAAGTTAACGATATGTCTGATGTTCAAATTATCTATGAACATTAGAACTTATTTAGCCTAAAGTGTCTAACCGTCATATCTTTATTGTGTGTTCAAAGTCCTTTGGTTTCAGGCACTGATCTGTAGTTGAACAAATGATAACATGGATGTTAGATCACATAATGGTTCTTTTTTCTAAGAATCGATAGGTTTCAGTGGGTCTTGGTGTCAGTCTACCTAATGTGTCAATAAACATCTGGTTCAAGATTTGCAATCTCATTGCACTATTTTAGAACTATTTGACAATGATCTATGTGTTATAAGATGTCATGCTTTATGAGCCGATACTGGAGTTGTTGATGAACCACAATCTTGGAGGAGCAATCAAGGTTGATAAAGGCAAATGAGCTTTAAATTAAGGTAGAAATGGTTTTTGAACTTGAGATCTATGCTTCATCTGATTTGGTCACTTGTGATGATATCATTGTACCTGTCATGACTTAACGATGGCATGTCTTGAGCCAAGTATGTAACTTTTGAATAAATAATGTCCCTAGAAGCATGCTGATGTACGTGCCTAAATTTCTCTATGTATCTCATCAGCGAGACCATCTGCTGAGATGACATTGAGTCACACACTCACGCTGATTGTCTAGCATTGTCTAAACGTTCAAAGTGAGATTGCCTGGTCCACATCAAAAAAATATTGCAAGGCTTGGGTGTTTATTTTTCATGGTTAATCATCTCTTACCTGACTCTGTCCCTGGAAGCATGCTTGCCGTATGCAGCAAGTCTCATGTTCTGCGGAAACATCGAGCACAACCTAGTGGCTTACCTTGATTGCATAATCATCAATGTAAGAGATACTTGTCAGGTCCTTAAATGACAAAGGGTTATTCATGTCCTTGACCTTCTAGACTGAGGTATGACATGGTATCATTATGAATTGACAGTGGATATACTCTAAGATTTTAACTACTCCTCCTAAAAGTCTTCTAATGTAGAACTTGATGATTCACTGTGAGATACCACACACTGATAAAAGTTCGAAATTCTGTGCCAATGGTTAGCCTATGTACCGTAGGCTATCACACGCACCGACCCATTCTTACCCTTATCATTCTTCTTAAATGTTTTATGATTCAATGTCAAATACCAGACATTAATGAGAACTTGAAAACTCTGTGCCGATGGGTATATCATGTACCGTGATATATTACACGCACCTGTCCACTCTCGCTTTTTATTCTTCTAATAAGAGAAGTTAACGATTCAACATTTAAAACCATACATTGATGAGACTTCGCAATTCTATGTAAATGATCTGCTATTGCAACAACACAACAGTGTGATATACCTATCTTATCCTTTAACTTTATTTGATGTTTTCTTTCAGGTTATTTGTTGTCTTCTTAAAAAAAAGGAGGCAATACCTATTGATGCTGTCAAAAGGGGAAGAAATGTCCAGTCCTGCTATATTGTTACTTGATCATTCATAGCAGACACTCTTGAAAGAAGATTACACATCGGGGGGGGGGGGGGGGGGGGGGGGGGAACTCAAACGTTGCTAATATGAGGGGGAGCTGATTTTACACTCTATCATCTTCTTATCATCTATCCGTTCACTACAACTCATGATATGCTCATTACTTCCACTGCTCTTACTGCTTCTACTGTTGATAACCAAAAATGGGATACATACACCTTCTAAGGAGGAGCATTCATTAAAGATAAAGAATTCTTTGATGATTAGTTTTGACATCATCAGATAGGGGGAGATTGTAAGGTCACACCTTATGATCTGATGAGTCAAACATAATTACACGCTGACCACCAGCGCCAGCGTCAGCTCAAATGTGTTCAGCGTCAGCGTCAAGTCCATGATCTTAGTGATCTTTGTATATTAGGAAGATATCATTTATATATATTAGGAAGATATCTTTGTATATTAGGTAGTTATCTCTGTAAATATAGAATAGATAACAAATCTGATATCTTGGTGGTAAGGATCTGTTTATATGTAGATTGGATACAATCCCTTGATTAAATGGATTCTCTATATTAGATTAGTATATATACCACATTAGGGTGAAACCTTAATGTGTGGCTTGGTGCCGTCATTTGCTTTGTGTCAATCGTCTTTGTGACAAACCGTTTTCTTTGTGAAAACAAACCCTTTCTTGGTGAAAGACAATTTGGTGAATCCTTTGTTCCTTACTTTTTCTGTTCTTTATTTGCTTAGTAATTTTCTTCTTGTTTATTATACTTAAAGTGTATCCGATCGACACAAACCTTCAATAACTACAATTGCAAGTATAACCAAACAACAATGAGTGCTTCCCAAAGCAACTGCCGAACTCTAATCTAATCAGACATTGGCCCTAAGATAAGTGATCAACTATTCCTTCGTTCTTCAAGATATCATATGGACATGAGCCATGGATCATAATCAATCTCATTGTCTAAGATTTTGTTTTCCAATTTCCCGATTTATGATGACGTCATTAGACTACTAATTGAACACATGAATTTAGTCCTGGTTGGGCCCAACACTATAATGTCAACACCAAATCACCGAGGGGCCCAAAGATATCGCTTTTCCCGTTAGGGCAAAAGGAACGAATAAACTTTGACTATATAATTGTGCCCTTTACTCACTAAATCATACATGACACTGTGTTTTATAACATCATGTTACTGATGCGTTTTCGTAACACCAATGCATAACCGATTTGTAAATCACAACTTTATATATCTCCATTTGAAGAATGAAAGACATTATCATGTTATAATTACTATTTATTGAATCCATGAAGTAATCTCTAAGCGTGGGTTTATCCAATACTTAAATCTCCATTTCTAAGTAGTCATGAATATTGTAGCAATCTCATTGCAATGTCTAATCTCTATAGACAATCTACAATCCGTTCCTGACAGTCTTGATTCACTACTTACTTCCAAAAGTATGAGTGACTATGGAATTTTGAATAATCAAATCATTCAGGAAGTAAAACATGCAAAGTGAAATACAAGAATAAATAATTAAAGAAGGCAGTACAATACTCATGTAACACCTGTTCCAGGTATTAATGGATTTAGTTAATTTCAGGGTTTTTGATGCGTGGACTCAGCAAGTTGGAAGTCCAACTCGTCGAGTAGAGGCATTAAATCATGGACGCGGATCGGGACCAACTCGACGAGTCGGAAGGCCCGACTCGGCGAGTTGGAGCTGTAAGGAGAAAACCCTAATTTCGGGGTTTGCAGCCTATTTAAGGGTCATAATCAGCCCATGTGGACTCCCTTAGCACCTTATCATCCCTGAGAGAACTGTTTTCGGCTGTGAACCCCCTTGAGTGAGGATAAGAGCTTGGTTTAGCAAACTTGGAGTGTGGAAGAATGAATTTATAAGAAGGAACAAGAGGGGAAGTAGTAGATCCGACATCTACACTGTATTGGACACCATTTTAAGGTAAAAAGTCGTTACTTTAAACTGTAGATTGTTAGATCTCTCCTATTTCAAGTACATGACCATTTTGGGGCAAATGGTGTCCAAATTTAGATCTGGACGTATCACAGGGACATAGTTCCAGATCTTGACCTTTTTAGGTCCCCAAAGTCATAAAGTTGCTTCCTTTAAGTAGCTTAACCCTTTCCATGCGTTAAGACCTTGTATGAAGACTAGTTTTGGTATTATGGCCTTGTGAGGCCTTGCAGGCACGTAAAGTTTGCAACTTTACATGATATCTACACTAGGGAAGGTTGGATCTGAAGTTTGGGACCCTATATCCCACTGGAAAAGACCGAAAACGAGAAGGACTAAAGGAACTCGCCGAGTCCCTTAGTCAAATCGACGAGTCGGGAAGAGTTTTCCTGTTTTCGGGATCCTGAGTGTTTTCGGCCAAGGAGTTTTCGGTCAAAGGGTTTTCGGTCAGG